GACTTCTGCGCATGGGCCACGAAGTTTCAATCGCACTGTACGTGCGCGCCCGCACGTGGTATTTTGTGGAAGAGCCACACTCAGGGGGCCAAAGAGCCGCATGTGGCTCGTGAGCCGCGGTTTGCCGACCACTGAACTAGACCAATGAAACAGATCAGGCAAGGACAACGGATATGGGCTTTATTCTGTAAGCAACAGGTAGGACAGCTGGTTTCCAAAGGCAGAGGTGACAGCCACTCCACTCTGAGCTGCACCCCCTCTTGGGGGGTGGGGGGAGCGGGAGAGCCATTGCTTTTCTTTCAGGGAGCGTTCTGCCTCAGGCAACAGCTTCTGGGAAGCAAACTGGTGTTGAGTACACCTCTACCTTTGCGATCTTTTGTTCTCTCAGACCCACAGTATCCAGAACTCCTGAGGAACAAGGAAGTGGATTCCTAGTGGCAGAAGGAACACTCCATTCCACCCACGGTGACTGCAGTCCCTTTGCATTGTGAGCTCAGGGAGGAGTGGACAGAAAAGCAGTTCTCTGAAAAGGAACCTCACAAGGCGATCTGATCATAAATTCCAAGCTGGGCAGGTCATGTGGGTAATCACGTCCCAAGCCTATATCTTTAGTAAAAGGCTTATCTTTACCTTAAGCGGGCCCTGCACATTGCTGCAATGCATCTAGGGTAATGCCTCTTTGAAATGCCCCCTTTTGGGCCCTCATTCTAATGTAGCGGTCGCCAACCGGTGGTCCGTGGAGGGTTGGGGACCGCTGCCCTAACGCATGACCACGCTCTCAGGCCCCTACTTCTAGAATCTAGAGCATGACAGCTCTCAAGAAAGCACATAATCTTAACCATTTTGTAATCCCAGCCCCACCTGGCTTTCTCCTACCTTCATGTAATCTTCCTTATGCCCCCTCCTTAATTTCAAAGGCACAAAAGAAACTGCAAACTTAGTCTTGGAAGCGTTTATCCCAGTCTGTTGAAATCTTGCTTCCAGGCACATCTTCTATTTAGCTCAGATAAATTTTAGACAAATTCTCTACAGGTTTGGATGTTTAGAAAAAGAAGGGGGAAGGGACTTGCTTGGGTCTCCAGCTATAGTGCTTCTGACGACACCACGCACCAAGGGAGGATTTGGAGGGTGTGGAGAAACCTGAGGAATCCGTGGCAGGCAGAGACACAGAGCCCTGCCACCCTTAGCAGTCAAAAAAGAAAAATTCCCAGTTTCAGGTACGTGAGGAGGGTGGGGTGGGGGCGGTCAGCATTCACAGACTTAGGCCCTAAAGGGGCAAAGGGAGTCTCCATGTCCCTGGGTCAGTGGAGCCTCCAGCTCAGCTTCTTTGGCATCTACTTCTGGCATCTCTCCCTGTGCCAACAGTAAATCCCCCAGTGGAGGGAACAGCTGAAGATGCTGAGTAGGCCTCCCTCTCCCCGCCTCCCAGTGGCCCCATGGATCACCCGGTGCGGCCGGCCCATCTCATTGGCTCTCTCCTGGTTACTCATCTCCTTCTCTATCTTCCCAGCCTGTGGTTGCCATGGAAACAGAGAACAGTGATATCACTATAGGGCAAGGGCTGGGGAGATGATGCGCTCGGCAGGGATTGGTCCTGCCGCTTGCCAGATGTTGTATCCACATTGGACCTCCCGAGGGCAAGAAAGAGGGGCAGGAAAGGGACAGGGCTCCTATTTCCTCCCCTTGCCCCTCTCTCCAAAATTGTAGTGAGCTTAGCAGGGCAAGGAGGATGCAGGTAATCGGAGGGATGAGGGGGAAGCTGTACATACTTAGAAAGAAATGTGAGAACCAGGCAGACAGGAGATAGGGTTCGGACTAGGAGTCAACTTTGGTGACTCAGGTCTGAGCCTGATGGGAGTTGGGGGCAGGGCAGCAAGACTAGTGGGTCTCAGGTGTGTCTCAAAGCACCATGCTATTCAACACAGGCAGGGTCCAAAAGGACTTTCTGGCAGTATCCCCCTCAACCTGTCCTAAATATCTCTATCACTCCTTCCTCACAACTGCAGCAGTTTCTAGTCCTGTCTCAGAAGAAAGAAAACTGAGGATTAGAGAAGCAAAGTCATCTGCCTTGGATGGCCCAGCAGGTGAGGGGCAGTGCTGTGATCAGGTCTTAGGACTCCTGTACTATCCATGGATATAATAATAATAATAATAATAATAACAACAACAGCAGCAGCAGCAGCAGCAGCAGCAGCAGCAGCAGGAGTGAACGTAATTTATTAAGTCCACCAGGCTCAGCATTTTAAATGCATTCTCTCATTTGATCCCCAAACACCTCTATGGGGTAAATACTGTTATTACCTCCATTTTCAAGATCCAATGGAGACTTAGAGTGGCTTACATGAACAGCCACATAGCTGGAACCCAGTGCAATCAGAATTGGAACTCATATCTATCTGCCGCCCCAGATCTCCAGCACTGCATTAAAAAGGCCTTGTAGGGAGACAGCTCTGGTCCCTGAGTCTCCAGCCACTCAGTCCTTGAGAGAGGAGGCCCTGTGTCTAAAGGCTGTGACCTTGAGTTAGAAATCCTCCCACTCCCCTCCTCCCCGGGCACCTGCTCCAGCAGTGAGGTCACCAGGGCTCCATGCCCAGCCCTGAGGCCTGTCCCTGTAGCTTTGGCAGAAAATAGGCCCCTCAGCCTTCTGGCAAGTGGATCTATCCAAAAGAACCGAGACCTTGGGGCAGAGAGGGCTCTTCCTCCCTGGCCTCCTTCCCAGACAGTCAGGGAAACAGAGGTAGGGGCAGATGTTCTCCACTTCCACGTGAGAAACAGAGGGCCAGCAAGGGGTGTCGGCCACACTGTAAATGTGTGGCAGAGTTGCCAGGAGCCCAGGGCCACTGGGCCTACAGTCCTGCATGTCCCCCTGGGGGGTCCTCTGCTGGCTGTTCAGTTGGGCACCAATGTGTAACCGGACAACCAAGGGGTCTGGGCTGCCTGTCACTACTTGAGCCAATTAAGCAGAGACAGGGTTGAATCATATATGAGCGTTTATTCCAATACGGCTGGCACTATGGGAGAGCAGCAGGTCATCCACAAACATCTGCTCTGCCTCTCCTCATAAGCCAGCTGCTTATATTGGGTGAAAGGACAAAGACTACGTGGGGAAGTAGGAATCACAGGTATGGGAATGAACGTAGGTACGGGTTAATCATTACAGGTTACAAGTCATGTGGGCTGGAGGCGGGTGGGGCGGTCGGGGGTGCAGAGGGAGGGCGCTAGGGACCAGATTACAGGCAATAGGGGCTGGGGTTTAAAGGGCGGGTGCCTCTGGGACTAGATTGTTGCAGCCAGGAGGCTGTAAATCTTTCCATATGATAGGCAGTTCTCGGGGCAGGAGGATGGACTGCATTCCGAAGTGAGCTCCCATGTCCCAGGGTGTATAGCTCTCAGCAGGGTGAGAATATGCTTTCTCTAATCAGGAAAGAACAATCACAGTTACAGAGCATGATTACTATTTCTTATCGTTGTAGCTGGTCCCCAGTATTCTATTTCTGCCCCTAACAAATGCAGGGCCTCCTATCAGGAATGTGCTTATACCTCGGTTCCTCTGGGAAGTCTCCCCTGAGCCACTAGATCAGGCCAGGCTTCCCCTGAAAGCCACCACGGTAGTTTTGCATCTGCCCACCCAAAGGTGAGTTATGTGTGTCTTATTCATGGTTGTCTCTCCAGTGCCTAGCCCAGGGCCTGGCACATGGTAGGTGCTTTAATAACTGAAATGAACGGCTCCTCTAAGCTTTGGTTTGCTCACCTGTAAAACAGAGATAATAACAACACCTACATCATGGTCTGCTTTAGAAGGTCAATGAGACAATGTACTTAATGCCTTCAGCATGCAGCAAACATCAATACAACGCGGATCTTATTATTTTTTAAAGTATATTTTTATTGATTTCAGAGAGAAAGGGAAATAGAAACATCAATGAGGAATCATTGATGGGCTGCCTCCTGCACGCCCCCTACTGGGGATTGAACCACAATCCAGGCATGTGCCCTGACCGGGAACAAACCGTGACCTCCTGGTTCATAGGTAGATGCTCAACCACTGAGCCACGCCAGCCGGGCAGGTTCTTCTTATTATGAACGGTGCTTTATGAACTGTAAACTGTCAACCACGCAGCAGCCTCCTTAAAGGAGGTGGACAAAGATTAGAGAAAGGGCAGCAGGTGAGGGGCAGAATTCCTGAAGGAGGACGAGGGGGAAGCACAGCAGCAAATGCCCAGAGCTGTGCGCAGAGGTCAGAGAGACCTGGGGCTCTGGCTGGTGGACCGGGAGCTGGAGTGCTGGGCGGAAAGGCGCGCGCACAGCAGACATTCCGCAGGGAGGGGCGAGCACGTGCGGGGCGGGCATGGCGGTAGGGGCACGCTTTCCCGGAGCAGTCGGAGGGCACAGGGCCGGCTGAGCCCTGACGGTGCCCTGGTTCCTCTCCCCGCCACCAGGCCGCGGGGAGGTCGGAGAGGCGGATTCAGGAGCCAGCTAGAGCCGGCTGGCACTTGGGCTCTAATCCACCCTTCCTTTCCTGCGACCTTGTCAGGTCGCCGCCGTCTCCTCACCTGTAAAAGGCGCGGACCAAGATGCCTGCGCCAAGAAGTCAGCCAGAGCTTCCCCGACGTGGGCATCAGCCCAAGGGCGCCTGTCCTTGCTCCTCTAATCTCTCATCTCTGCCCGGACTCCACGCTAGGGAGGGATGGGGATGAATGACGTCTGGGGCGTGCGCCCCAGCTCGCGGGCACCGCGCCCCCCACTGCTTCCTTCTCAGATTCCAAAGAAGATGTAGCGGCCGGGGAAGGAAGAAAGCCGGTGCTGTCAGCGCGCAGCTCCGGCGGGACTC